AAAGGGTTTTTTAGAATAATGCACAAAAATCATATTTTCTGATTCGTGAACTGTTGCATATTCAAAGCAAATTGCACCAGAATTAATAAACTGTTAGTGCTTAACTATATTTATAATTTGGGAAACACCTTTTACAATCTGAGCAAAATCTAAGCTACCAAACTCATGATTTTCTTGCAATTGACTCATGCATAATTGGGACCTTTTCTTGTTTGTCTCGGATCACACGCGCATACACACTGTTACAACATACACTTACATCATCGTTTCCAAAACTCTTAGAGCAGATAACAACAGTTTCAGAGTGGGAAGCTTATAACGAATCCAAGCAAAAAGCAACATGCAAACATTCCTTTCTTCGTTCAAACCAATATCAATCGCCGCAGAAAAATGAAAATGAAAAGGCTTTTAAAAACTTACCGTGGCAGCAAAGGACAACAACAAAGGCAGCGGAGCGGCGGTGGAGCGGCGGGAACGATGGCGAAAGCAGCACATGGAGAGAATACTCCTGTAGTTCGTGCAAGAAATAGAGCCACCCGACTTGGACAACGCTTCGCCGGAGACAATGGAGGCACGACGACACGATGGTGGACGCACGGAGAAGACAACAATGGTGCCTTGGTGGTGGAGGCTCGCCCAGAAACGGTGGTCGCCACGGAGAAGAGAAAGCATAGGGAGGTGTTGAATCAGAACTGTAAACCCTTCTATTTTACAGTGCAGTAGAAGAAAGCAAAGCAATACTGCCTCGGTTTTACGACTAACCGAGGCCTAAACAGCTTAAATAAATTTCAAAATAAAGTTATATGCTTCGGCTGGCTTCCAAACAGAAGTAGTAGAGCGTTTCTGCATCGGTTCGGGGAAAACCGAAGCAGTCTATGTGGACAAAATGCATTGACACAGACATTTGTCAGATGAAAAGCCTAAACACACAGACGTTTACGCTTCGGTTAGCTGCTATAACCGAGGTCATATCGGGTTTAGGCATCGGTTCTGTGTGGAGCCGAGGCGATATCCCCAGTCAGTCTGACTTGCAGAGGTTGGTTGAGTGGCAGAGAGTTTTATGCCTCGGGTGGCTAAGACAATCGAGGTCATAGCGTGTTTCGGCACCGGTTCTCTGTGGAGCCGAGGCGATAGCCCCTTGACGGAAGGCTAGTCAATTTGACTTGTAGAGGGTGGTTGAGTGTCAGAGAGTTTTATGCCTCGGGTGGCTAAATCAACCGAGGTAGTATCACTTTTAGTCACCAGTTCTCCAACAACCAAAGCATATAAGTTCCCGTTAATTACAAAAAAGCCACCGCATTTTAATATGCTTCGGTTTTTGAAAAACCGAAGCATATTGGACGCCTTTAAAAATTGTTTTTTTACTAGTGACAATAAAAGTTTAAGATCAAGCCAAAATGGTGTTTTGATCTTTGATCACGCACCAAACAACTATGATTGTTTGAAAAACTTTGAAAAGTTTATAATTGAAGAAAAAGTAGAAGATTCTTGTTGCTACATATGTCTTGAGGAATTTGCAATTGGATTAAGAGCAATTTGCATACCTCACCCATGTTCTCATATCTTTCATCACCATTGCATCACAAAATGGCTCGACATCAATCACACTAGTTTTTTTTTTTTTGTATAGTTTTTCAATCTACAATATTTGTATTTAGGTTTTGCATTATCAATTTCTAATATTTTATAAGTTCTAATATCTATTGATCTCACTACTTTAAAAAACAATCAACAATGACATTGTGCTACTCTTTTAGTATATTATAATGCAAATCTTAGTGAGGAGTCCACATTAATTCTATTAGATTTATGCTCATTTCTAATATTTTCTCCATTATTTATTTCAATACATTCCGGAAGTTGATTTCTGAAAAAGTTAACATGATCAAAAGTTTACATATTTTCTGATATTTTATGCAAAAGTAGAAAGTAAAAAACAAAAAAAAATAATGCAAATCTTGGTGAGGAGTCAACATTAATTCTATTAGATTTATGCCCATTTCTAATATTTTCACCATTATTTATTTCAATACATTCGAGAAGTTGATTTATGAAAAAGTTAATATGATCAAAAGTTTACATAATTTCTGATATTTTTGTGTGCAAGTGTAGAAAGTAGAAAACAAAAAAAAAATTAGCTATAGTATAAATGGATTGTTCTTAACTATCTTATAATAACCTATCATTTGCAAAAATAATATTTTCACAACCATTCAAGAAGATTTTATGAAACGTTCGATTAAGAAATACAAAATTTATAATCTTTTTTTTTTTAAAATGTTTTGTTGGAAAATCATTTTAGAACCTTTTAGATTTCAGAAAGAAAAAAAATGGATTATGGAAAGAACTGTTCAAAAAAAATTATAAATATTTTGTTGGTTTTGAACTTCCTATTTATTGGTCGAACATTCTGAAATGTATTTATAATTTATTTATTTATAACAAACAAATATTATGGAATGATGAATTAGAAGATCAATTCTAAAATATATATAATTTGGAAACATTATTTGAATTTTTCATTTATAAATATACTTTTCTATAATATTTCTAGATTCTGCTATCATAGATCTTTCAGTACTTTCTGAAAAAAAAAAAGTTATTTTGAAAAATAAAATTTTTAAAATATGAATTTCAACCTGTATAACAAAGGAGTGGCACAAAAGAACAAAACATTTTCATAAAAAATTGAGAAACATAATGTATATATCAAAATTTACATTAAGTATCAACTGATAAAATAAGTTTATGTTTACATACAATAAATAATACTATTTTTTAAATTTCATTCTTCTTGTTTTAGAAAATTCAAATCTGTACAAAAATTACTTATAATTATTTTTATCACAAGAATATTAGTGTGAAGCATTTTACACTTTTCTTTTAAAATCTAGAATCTTGTAAAAAAAATAACATGATTCTATCTACTTATAAATTATTATTTAACTAATTATTATGAATTATGGAAATTATTTTGTCTGATTATGTTGAACATGCATGCTCTTCTGATTTCAAGAGAGATGAATGGTAAAATACGACATCATGATCGGTCGTTTTACTGCAACTAAACGAAAAGTATGCATGTCGTTTTGCCTTTCCTTTCTTTTGAGAAGGTGTAGTTTCTTAATAGAACACCTCCCAAGGTGTGTGAGCAAATATTGAAGATAAGAATCAGTGACACAGAAAAAACGAACACGAACGGGTAAAATCCCTAATCCTTCTTTCATTCCTCATATTACCTCTTGTAAGTCATTTCCATCAACTGAAGCTTTTCTTTTCCAACTCTGGGCTCAAATTTTTGTTTTATTATTTTTTCCCCTTTGAAATTTTTCATCTTTATTGTAAAATTAACATGGGTTTTGGTCTTGGGTCCTGTTGCTATTCACTTTTTCTGATTTTCGATTTTGTAAAAAAGAAATTTTAGGGTTTTTACCCAGTTGTGGTAATTGTAGTCTCTGCATGCTTTCATTCAATACTATTGAGCTTCTGCTGGCATGCAATTACATCGTATGAGTATGCATCAATTCTTTGTCACGTGACAGATGCCAGAAGCCAAGTCACTTCATGATGTTGGACTGTCTCTGCTCTGAATAGAAATTATAGTTTTTGGACTGTAAACTATAGTTGCGTTCAATCCAACAATTAATATCAGTTCTCATTGTTCTATTCACAATATTTGGACTTTTTCATGGAAAAATCAGTCTAAACATGTCATGGCTTAAAAACTGGTTTCAGAGTGATTGATAGGTTAAAGACTGATTTTGGATGTAACCTGGTCCAAAACCAGTTTTATCTGCTAATTGAATCATATTATTGGCTTGCATTGGTTTAATTAGTAATTCGTAAGTTGGGTTACTTGGCCAGAGCAACACAAGTTTTATGTTGAAATGAAGGGGAATGAGCTTGCAGTTATTGCAGTTAATTAAATACCTTAATCTTAAATGTGTTACCATAAAATTGTTTAGTAACGAATTTTTGAAATGACAATAATCACCCCTTTGCAGTAATTGAAATGCATGCTTTTGACAGTTTTGGTTTTTTATTCTCCAAAGCTGAAATCAATGATCTAAGTACTGATTAATTTTTTTCTGCCTTTTGGAACATATTATCTACTGCCAAAGGCTTGAAGTCGAACCAATGGATTGTTCAGCTGCAAGAAAGACTCAAAAGGCTGACCGAGANAATTATAGTTTTTGGACTGTAAACTATAGTTGCGCTCAATCCAACAATTAATATCAGTTCTCATTGTTCTATTCACAATATTTTGACTTTTTCATGGAAAAATCAGTCTAAACATGTCATGGCTTAAAAACTGGTTTCAGAGTGATTGATAGGTTAAAGACTGATTTTGGATGTAACCTGGTCCAAAACCAGTTTTATCTGCTAATTGAATCATATTATTGGCTTGCATTGGTTTAATTAGTAATTCGTAAGTTGGGTTACTTGGCCAGAGCAACACAAGTTTTATGTTGAAATGAAGGGGAATGAGCTTGCAGTTATTGCAGTTAATTAAATACCTTAATCTTAAATGTGTTACCATAAAATTGTTTAGTAACGAATTTTTGAAATGACAATAATCACCCCTTTGCAGTAATTGAAATGCATGCTTTTGACAGTTTTGGTTTTTTATTCTCCAAAGCTGAAATCAATGATCTAAGTACTGATTAATTTTTTTCTGCCTTTTGGAACATATTATCTACTGCCAAAGGCTTGAAGTTGAACCAATGGATTGTTCAGCTGCAAGAAAGACTCAAAAGGCTGACCGAGAAAAGTTAAGGAGGGATCGACTCAATGAGCAGTTTGTAGAACTGGGTAACGTTTTAGGTAAATCAAGTTTCACCTTTTCACATTGGAAATTTAATTGATACTAGCATTTCTGTAGTACTGGTAAGGGAATTAACAAAAAGAAGTTCGGATTACAATTGAAAATTACTGAATAATATGGATGTTAAAAATGAGTGAAACAGTATTAGAAAAGCAGTATTTCCTCTGTCCGATGGCTACAAACTTCCTGAACCTGCCTGATACTACTGTATACCCTCTTCGTACCTTTAATTTTCACCTTCCTTTTCTGGTTCCAGCACCAACCTATCCGATGAAAAATAATAAAAAAGCGAGTATACTATTGAAAATGTTATATTTATTCTCTGCCTTTTATATTACTTAAAACCATTTTGGTTCTTTATCCTCCACCCCTTTTCTCCCCTACACCTGCGTGCCTATAGAAAGTAAGCTGTGTGAAGCTTAAAATTTCATGTTTTTGATTGATTTATTATTTGCATTGTGAACTATTTTGCAGAGCAGTCATGCAGTATTTGTTTTAGAACTATTACAGCAAAATTAGGTCTTTTGATTTTAGACTAAGGGCAATTGATGTTTTTGAATTATCATAACATTTTGAATGGATTGTTCTGGTTTTCCTTTCCTTGACTGGTGTCTTTATGTGTCCTTAAAGTACTTTAATACTGCAGTTGTCAGGTTTTCTTTTGAAAAAGGGATTTTTCCTTTTATTTTCGTATTTGTATGATTTAATTTAGTTTTTTTAATTAACCTGATTATAGTTTTGATTATTTTAAACCACTTGTAGCATGCAGCAGATGTTAACAAGAGGATTTACAAATGCTGATATTTTGTATCAAATACCTGTTATTTCTTTGGAATGTATTCATGTGTTTTCCATTTAATGTTAAAAGCTGATAAAACAATAAATCTCTTAAATCACTCTCTGCTGTGGAGATTCTGAAATGCAGACCCTGACAGGCCCAAAAATGACAAAGCAACCATTCTAAGTGATACAATTCAATTGCTGAAGGACCTTACTTCTCAAGTTGGTAAACTCAAAGAAGAATATGCTACACTAAATGAAGAATCTCGTGAGGTAATCTTTTTATTTGATAAATTGCCTGTCTTGATACTTTTGGGACTAATGAAAATAATTAAGATATCATTCCATTTTTAGTTGACTCAGGAGAAAAATGATCTCAGAGAAGAAAAGGCTTCTCTTAAATCGGATATTGACAACTTGAATAATCAGTATCAGCAGCAGCTCAGGACTATATTTCCATGGACTGCAATGGATCATTCAGTTGTCATGGCTCCACCATCATATCCCTTTCCAATGCCAGTGGCAGTACCTCCTGGTTCAATCCCCATGCAGCCATTCCCCTACTTTACTAATCAACATCCTGCAGTCATCTCTAATCCCCATTCAACTTTTGTTCCTTATTTAGCCCCCAATACCATTGTTGAACAACAATCCACCCAGTACGTTTCACCTCCACTTCATCCAGGCTGTCGGTCCAATGTGTCTGAAAAACCAGAGTCCAAAAGCAAATCATCCAGGGAGAGCAAGGCTGAAAAGAACGAGGATTCTAATGATGTCACTACAGACCTTCAGTTGAAGACTCCTGGGTCTTCTGCAGATCAGGTTAGTGTTGTTTGCTAAGGAAACTTTGCAACTGATAAATAGCTGTGATCATGGTTCTAAATTGCAGTTGCAAATCCAATCCGGGAGGCATTGCAATAGCAATGCTGCAGACAGCAATTTATCATCGGATTCAGGTTTTGTTTGTGTACATGTTTTGCAGGATTTATCATCCGGACAAAGGAAATCTGGGAAGTTGTCAAGAAGGGAAAGCAGCTGCTGCTCGGAAGGGAATACATTAGGTAGGTGTTCTTCTTCTCATAGCGCTCAGGATAGCTCATCAAGCAGTGCAGTTGCAAGCAGAAAGGATAATGAATGAGAAATTATGCAATTTAGTGAAGCTCTTGTGCATTTGAAGCCACAATGAAGATTTTCATCCTGCATCTGCTGCAACTCTGGAGGGTACAAGTCATTCGGTTCTTATCCCAAAATAATTCACTTCTGTTATCTCTTCCTTAGTAAGAATTTGGTCTGAGTAGGTTTTAAATGTTTAAGCATAAACTTCTCTTTCCGTGGGAAAACTTGAAATTTCAGCTGGAAAACCTCCAAGTTGACCAGTGGGGTTATCTAACGTGTAAGTTTGTAAATTCTTTCAGTGGTTAGAATTTCATGATTCGATACAATTCAACAAGCTAACCATTTGTATCTTGTAATGAATTGCCAGTGGCTTTGAATTGCACAATGCTTAATTGATTAACTGATATCAATGCAATTTCATATAACTAGTACAAATCACTCGAGTCTGGAACTCATTATTTTCTTTTGGTAATTCTCATAAATGAAGAGACGCTCACTTTTCATCATTCCATTGTTTTGTTCATTCTTGTGAAGCCGGGGTGTTTTAACAGTTATTTTACTTGCTCTGCATTTCATTTGACTATTTCATTGTTCTATTTTTATACTTGTAGAATCGAGATTTCACTCATAATATGAACCTTATTTGGCATGAACCTCACAACATCATGTGGCTTGGCTCCTAAAGACAGTAAAAATGGAAGAGGAATTTGAGTTGAGAACACTGAATTGTCCAATGTCTGCAATGTGAGTGCCCTTGGGATGAACTAACCTGT